TAAATTAAACAAACAAAATTACGAAAATTAAATAAAGAATATATAAATATTGTTTTATTAAAATTGAAAAAATTTAGTATTATCATAAAGAGAAAAGAATTAAAAAGAAATTTAAATCGAAAAAAATAATTGTTCGTAGTATGAACAAAATAAATTAAAAGAAAAAAAGAAAAAAAACGACAAAGAGAATCTCTCCGTGTCTCCTTGTGATGGAGAGAAATTCTACATATTTTTTTATTATAAAGTTTTTTTAATTAAATTGAAATAATTAAATTTAAAAATAAATATTATTTAATTAAAATTTATTAAATTATGTTTTATCATAAAACGAAAAGAATTAAAGAAAAATTGAATCAAAAAAAATTTACTTATAATATGAAGAAAAAGAAATTTTCAAACAATTTTCAAACAAAATATAATAAAAAACAAAACAAATTAACCAAAAAAAGTTAAGAAAATTAAATAAAAAATATATAAATATTATTTAATTAAAATAGAAATAAATGCAATGTAGTCCCAAAGAATTATCTCAAAATATATCTTATTTAATGCTCTTGAATCTCTTGAGAGGAGTTGAGATAGTGGGGATATTTATAGAGTTCAAAATGCCAAGAAATCTGTAAGTTTGAAAAAAATTGAATCAAAAAAAATTTACTTATAATATGAAGAAAAAGAAATTTTCAAACAATTTTCAAACAAAATATAATAAAAAACAAAACAAATTAACCAAAAAAAGTTAAGAAAATTAAATAAAAAATATATAAATATTATTTAATTAAAATAAAAAAAAGTTTAGTTTTATCATAACGAGAAAAGAATCAAAAAGAAATTTAAATCGAAGAAAATTTATTTATAATATGAAGAAAATTTTTTTAAAAAAAATGACGAACATAGAGAATTTATTCGTGAGATGGAGAGGTTTCTCTCCACGACACAGATCCTCTTCGTGTGATGGAGAGATCACACTGAGAGATCCATTTTTTTAAAAAAAATTGTTTCGTTCATATTACAAATAATTTTTTTGATTTAAAATTCTTTTTAATTCTTTTCTATTTATGATAAAACATAATTTTTTTCAATTTTAATCAAATCATATTTAAATATTCTTTATTTAAAAATTGTTTTAAAAATTCTTTTTCTTCATATTATAAATTAATTTTTTTCGATTTAAAATTCTTTTTAATCCTTTTTATTTTATGAAAAAACATATTTTTTTCAATTATAATTAAATAATATTTATTTTTAATTTTGATTATTTCAATTTAATTAAAAAACTTTATAATAATTTTTTTTTAATTTTTATCTTCAATTTTTTTCATTCTTTAATTTGTTAAATCATTTTAGTTTTTTTAATTAGTGTTGGTGTAAAATGATAGTTATAATTTTGGTTATTTAATTTTTTGAGATTATGCTTTATTTCATTCTCTATTGTTCAATGTTTTAAAATTTAAATTTTTGTAAGATGAAATACCATCTAAATGCAGAGTAGTGAAGGATAATCCTTAAGATTACGACTTTTGATTTGTCACTATCTTTATTTTTTCCATTTTTGGAAAAAAAATTCATGTCAAATATTAAGGTAATGAGTGAATATAACATACATTGATCGAGATTTAATTATTATCACTTAATTTATTAATATTTTTCTGTAATTATATATATAATATATATTCAATCTTTCTATCATATTAATGGAATAAGATGGCGTTGTTTTACAATTTAATGTATGGAAGTGATATCATTTTGTACTATAAATCCAATGAAAAAATGACAAACAAATTTTTTATTAGAAAATCCTTAAAATTGAGAAGAAAAAAGGAAGAAGTCTTAGAGTAAAGAGCGTGGACAGTTGTGTAAAAAAATAGAAAAGACGGATAGAAGAAAGAAAAATTGAAAATGATGGTTGCATAAAAAAATCAATAAAGAGAAGAAAGAGAAATAAAAATGATGGTTGCGTGGAAAAATGAAAAAAGCAGTATAATGTTTTCAAAAAAAAAAAAAAAGGAAAAAAATGTTGGCAAACAGTAACTGGGCACAACTCTATAGAAACGGTGCCATAAGAAGTGCCTTTTTTATTTTAATTATGATATATCTCTCTTCTATGAATGATAGAAATACGTTAAATACAAAAGGAGTGATAAAAAACTTTGATGAAGATGATGAAAAGAAATTGAATCAATCAAAGTTTTTGATATAAATAAATAAATGAAATAAATGCAATGTAGTCCCAAAGAATTATCTCAAAATATATCTTATTTAATGCTCTTGAATCTCTTGAGAGGAGTTGAGATAGTGGGGATATTTATAGAGTTCAAAATGCCAAGAAATCTGTAAGTTTGAATGACTTGTTTGATCGACCCCTTTTTGTCCGAATGACCAATATAGTCGTTTGTTCAATAAAAAATTAGATGTTAGAATGGTTAAATTTTAACCATTGAAAAACATCTGGCAGTTTCGATTTTTTCACGTTTTGACCCCGATTGATCTGATTTAAAGGTTTTGAAAGGCATGGATTTTTGAAAAGTATTTTTTTAACTAACTTTTCATGATAAAAAGATATATTTGAAGTTCAAATATCATTTTAAAAATTGTTTTTATATTTGATCAAAACATTTCATTAGAATGATTTTTAAAATCTTAAGCATTCATTGTCAAATATTAAAGTGTTAATATCTTTGCATTTTATCTAAAAAATCAAGTCTTTAATATTACTTCGAAGTTCGACTCTAAAGTTCTTGAATGCGTGATTTTCAATCTTGATCTCCTTCATGAGTCCGATTTGTGATATAGCTTTTGATCTTTTTACAATTATCGATCAATTTTTTCACTGTATGCTTTGAAAAACTATATTCACTTGAATTTAACTTTTTAGTAAACGAAATCAACTTATTTGTTATAATCAAAACTTGAAGGTTATAATCAACCATTGGCCAACGTGATCTATTATTTTAATTAGGAAAAACCATTAATTGAATATAAATTCTATTTTGACAAGTTTAATTGTCATCTTAATTGAATTACGATAAAGTTTAATAATAATAATAATTCTATTTTTTGAAATTAATTCTTATCTAACTTCTTTGTATTACACGGTTTTTCAATTTTAGTTTCATGCTAACTCAATTGTGAAATACAACTATAAATACTGCAAGAATGTCAACTATTTCACTACAAAAAAATAAAGAGAGCTACGTCAGAGAGAGGATGACAGAAGAGAACATAGAAAAATAATAGAAGAATTTTTACGTTGAATATTTCATTCTTTTCAACATCTCAAAAAGGAGATAAGATACTTTTGTGCAAATGGTTCGTTTTCGTATACTTTTATATTCTGTAATTTATATAAAAGTTAACTTTATTGTGTTCTTTTTAACGAAATGTGAAATCCTCTGAAAATACAAAATATTACTGATGGTTGTCTTGCTTGGTCCTTGATATACTCCATAAGAAACGTGGTATTGAATTTTTATTTTATTGTTATATAATTGTCTCTGGAAACTACACGTATCTTACTTTGTATTTTTAAATACTCAATCTTACAGTAATTTTACAGGTTAGTTTGGATTGATTGGATTTATAGCAGGAAAGTGAAGCAAGATGTCAAGAGGATTTGAAATACGAAAATCATTAAATTTTCTATTTTTCAATTGATTAATTAATTTTTATTTACGTTCAAGGATGAATTTATTTGATAGTTAGTTGATTATGTTTACATTTAAAGATACAAGTTTCATGATTTAATTTAAATTTATGAATGTTCCAGTTATTTTTTTATTAAATAATTTTATTTTATTTTTTCATTTTTAATACAAATAACAGTGAACTTTTAGTAACACTTCAAGATTTATAAAAATTTGGGATGTTATGTTTTCTATTCAACATGTCTAGTTGGTGTGCTCAAGTAGGGGTAAGGGATGTGTTGACCTCTTGGCTAATTTTTAGCTCTCGTTAGGCCTCCATTATTTCAAATTATAATAAGTGGAATAATATTTTTTTGGAGAGTGGGTGGTTGAAAAAGAAAGAATGTTTTACATTTATGTTTAATATTATTTTATACAAGATTGTGCGGTTGAAAATAGGAAAGAAAAAAATGAAATTTAATTTGATGGGAGCCAAATGGACCCTTAATTTTAAAAATTAATAAGATAAAGCAAAAATGAGTTAAAAACTAAGTTGACGCACAAGCTCAAGACGAGCCTTCTCGTGGGCTTGACAAATAGCTCGGCTTGTGAAATTTTCCTTTTTGCTCGACTTTTGCCTTTAGCTAGTTTCAATGCAAGTTCTAGCGATCCATGGATCAAGCTGATATAAAATGAGTCGGACGAGCAATTTGTCCCAACAATGGTGTATAAGTAATTAGGGTACGTTTGATTATAAGCATGAAATTTACATGGAAAGAAAATAAATTTCAGACAATTGAATTGCATAGAAATTATTTGCATTTAAATTATCAATTAAGTATATTTGATTGATTTTATTTTCAACCTAAAAAATGCTATACTTATTCACTTTTTATTGGTGAGTAGATGAGAGAGATGAAGTAGATGGGAGAGAATTAATTATATGGAAAAGAAAAATCTATTATTCTAAAGAAAATATTTTTCTTGTTTTTAAGGAAAATATGATTACGTGATCAAAAAATTTCATAAGAAAAATATCAATCAAATAGCATAAAAATGAAAATTTGGATGAAAAATGACATTTTTTATGAGAAATATTGACAATCAAACGCACTCTTAATTCTTTATCTATTTTGAGGGTGTTTGAAACCTATTTTTAAGGAAAAATGAATTTTAGAATGGTAGATTGATGAAGAATGTATGGATAAAAATTTTTTAATTTATGTGTAATATTATTTTAATGAAAAATATATAATTAAAAAAATAAGAAAAATGTATTTTGAAAAAAATGAAAATTAAACCTACAAAAATATGTAAGTGCGAGGATTAAAAAACACGTCAATTAAGCTTTCAAGAAAAGAAAAAAAAATACGTATTATTAAAAATAGAGAAAATCCGTCAAAGGAAATGACTCCCGCCCCCAAATTCATCAGTGCTAAATTCTTGTCAAATAGAGACCCTAGGTTAGAGTGTCGCGAAGAACAAAGCATACAGAAAGATTCTGGAGTATGGTATGGTTTTCACTTTTGAATGTTTGATATTAATTTATTTTCTTTCTTCTCAGAACTCGTTGGAATTTAAATTGCAAATAATTTATGCATTTGGGAATTTTTTTTCTTTTTTCTTTTTATTGTTTTTGTGGGTTTGTCTACAAAACAAATTGGTGGATAATTTTTCGACATAATTTTTTTTACACCAGGATGTGTTCAGGAAGGCAATTTTGAATCCAGGCCCACCTGAAGATTTTGCACTTCAGACTGTGCAAGAAATTATAAAGCACCAGGTGCGTTACTATATATGAAATGAACTTCACTCAACTATGTTTGGCTTGCATATTTCTCCATGTGAGTATATAACTTGGTGATATGTTAAATTTTCGGCCATATTATTTGTTCGTTAGTTCATCAAATTTTGATGGCCAATTGCTTTTCCTGAGGTGACTCTGTTTCGGGTTGAATTTGAACTTCTGGAATTTTGTTGACCAAAAGAAAAATGGAATTCATGTGGGTTTTTAATTTGAAATTTATTTTTGTATGAAAACACAAATGTCACAAACACCTCTGCTTGTTCTCTTTATTAAACTATCACAACTGGACAACTGGAGAAAAAAAGTTCCTTTTGACTTTAACTTTTAATTAGGTAATAATTCATGAAATTATTTTCCTTTTTGATCTTATGGCTTGTTAAATTCTCATTTTCTATTGTTGCAGAAACAAACAAAACTAGTCCAAGATGAGAATCAGTTGCTTGAAAATATTCTGCGGATGTTGCTTCAGGACCTGGTGGTAATGCTACTTTCTTGAGTATATAATTCTTGTTCCATGATATCTAGCTAATGAAAACTATTCATACACGAGACCTGCAGTTTGTGATGATGTGAAATTAAGATACCTGAAATAAATTCAAACTTGGGTAATGAAAATGTCCTCTGAGAGCAGTTCAGCATTTGGTGCATAGGTTTGATTATATAAACCCCCTTCTGACTGAGATGATGGATAACAACCGCTTGCAATGGTTATTAAACCAGTTGAACTTTTTTGATGACTTGTGAATGTATTTGATATCAGTAAAGATTTTAGTTTATTGAGGTCAAAACGTTTGATAGGTAGTTCATTTGTATTCTTGCAAAAATCTGCATGCGCTTGAGGCAGTATTTTATTCTGATCCTTCGTTTAATATGTCAATTTGATAATGTTCATACGTTGTCATCTTGTTCCAGTCAGCATCAATACAGTCCGGGGAGGAAATCATGCAGTATGGACAATCTATTGCTGATGGAGATATTCATAAGGGTCAAATTCCTCGACTTCTTGGTGAGTTTGTACTTTCAAGTTTCACTACTTGTAACCTAAAAACTTTCGCTAAACACGTACTTTCTGTTTCCATTTCTGTAGATTTCAGTCTTCTGAATCACACACACTATAACATTGTTTCAATTAATTTATTGTTAAAAGGATCTATAGAACTGCTGAAAAGTGAAAACTGTTAAATCAATAGGTATAGCACAGAATCTCTCATCTGAAAAGTGAAATAAGGTGCGTCACAAAGAGACCACTCAAGAAGAAGATAGTCTGGTTGAGTAAAGGTTATCCAATTCTTTACTTGGACATATTATTTAGTTTCACGTGAATATAGATAATGTCTAGAAGCTGGTATCAGCAAAACTCGATTTGGTTTTCAATGCCTCTCCAAACGAGAATTACTTGCATTATATAGTGTGTGTGTTTTTGATTACAAGGCTCAATCTTAGCCATTACACTAATCACGCTAGTCATTACACTAATCATGCTACGATTACAATAATCACTCCTCTATAATTACAAAATCATGCCTAACTAGGAAATGGAAAAGAGAGGGGAAAGGGGAATCTGTAATTAGGGAATCCGTCCATAATTAGATCCATATTGATATCCCCCCTTAAATTGATGCTGGTCGATCAAGAAGTATCAATTTGCTTACAAGAAATTGATGACGATTTCGGGTCTGTGATTTTGTAAAAATGTCAGCTTTCTGAAGAGCAGTGGAAATGTCAGGAAGAGAAATGACACGACTATCTAAAACTTCACGAATAGAATGACAGTCCACTTCAATATACTTAGTGCACTCATGGTAAATCGGATTAGTAGCAATCTGAATGACACTTGTGTTATCGGTATGGAGTGGAGTAAGACTAGATTGAGGAAAACCAAGTTTAGCAAGAAGCCCCCGAAGCCATATAATCTCGGAACAAGCAGCAGACATCGCCCGATATTCAGATTCAGTAGATGACTCAGAAACAAGATCTTGCTTCTTACTTTTCCAAGATATCAGAGAATCACCAAGAACATTCACCATCCTGTGATAGAACGTCAGGTGTCTGGACAACTAGCCCAATCTGCATCACTATAAGCAGTAAGACAGAGAAGAACCTGCAGGAAAGAACAATCCACGGCTAGATGTGCCTTGAAGATAGCGAATGATACGGCGAACGGCAGCTAGATGGAGATGACGTGGAGTGTGCATGAACTGGCTAATTTGCTTGACCGCGAAAGAAATATCAGGCCTTGTAATAGTCAAATAATTCAGGCTTCCCACCAGTTGACGAAACACGGTAGGATCAGAGAGAATATCACCTTCTTCACAACGATACTTTGTATTTACTTCTAGAGGAGTATCCATGGTAGATGAATCCTGAAGGCTGGCCAACTTAATCAAATCTTGCGTGTATTTATGCTGATTCAGGAAAATGCTAGAGGAATGTGTGTGAACTTCGAGCCCTAAGAAGTACGTAAGAGATCCAAGATCCTTCATATGAAAAGAGGCCTCAAGATGTTGCTGTAGACGAGTAATCAATGCGGAATTCGTCTCGAAAATTACAATATCATCAACATAGATGAGGAGAAGAACAATACCGGTAGAGATCTTGCAAAGGAACAAGGAAGAGTCATACTGCCTCTGTTGAAATGAAAAATGAAGCAAGGTAGATCAGAACTTATCAAACCATGCTCGTGGAGCCTATTTCAACCCATATAATGAGTGCTTCAACTTACATACTTTTGAGGAAGAGCTAGAGGTTAAGTCTGGAGGTAGTGTCATGTAAACTTCTTCTTTGAGATTTTCATGGAGAAAGGCATTTTTTACATCCATTTGTTGGAGCGGCCAACCTTGAGAAGCAGCAATAGAAATAACCATTCGCACGGTGGTCATCTTGGCTACTGGATCAAAAGTCTCCTCATAATCAACACCGTCTGTTACCAAGAGCAACCAGTCGTGCCTTATATCTATCCAAAGTCCTGTCAGACCGTAATTTGATTGAATAAACCCATTTGCAACCAATGTCCTTAACATTCTCAGGACAAGGAACAACATCCCAAGTGTCATTCTCTTTAAGTGCACGAAGTTCGTCTGCCATTGCCTCTCGCCAACATTCATGTTTTACTGCTTTAGAATACCCTGTAGGTATGCGAATAGATGACAAAGTAGCATGAAGAGATGTATGAGAAAATTCATACCGATCAGGAGGATGAGAAGTCTGGTGGAACGGCGAATATTAGTGTCTAAGTCCAGCTCATTCATGGAAGGTTGTGTCTGTGCAGCCTCAGATGGTGGGTCTGGTACACGGAGTGTAACGCCCCGAACTCTTTTTCATTATTATTGTTATTTTTAAATAAAAATGAGCTCAAGGTGCTACCAAAATTTTTCTCTATCTAATTTAAGCGGAAATATATCGAAAATATTCGATTTCAAGTTATTAAACAACATAATAAATATCGTGCATAAATATTAACACAGATATTCTTTATATAAATTGATGATTGTATTTTCTAGAAATTTTACTTGACGACCACATTAGCATCACTTCGTCAATCTTCCACGCGTCCTCACGACCCGTTCTTATCTTAAAATATTGTAAGAGTGAGTATTTTGAAAACACTCAGTAAGAATACGTGCACATCCTTTTTCACATGATATAAATATAAAAATAGCATAACATACCAACATTTTTTAGGAATTTCTTAAGAATCCCCATATCCCGTAGGATTTAATTTCTTTTCTTTGACCTGACGGTCTATCCCGAAGGATTTAACTTCTTCTCTTTGACCTAACGGTCTATCCCGAAGGATTTAACATAGCATTCGACCCGAAGGCCTTAAAGTATCTCATGCCAAAATTTACATATATATCAAGGAATAAGAATTTATCACTTGCACCATGTATTCTTACCCCAATTTGATATCCAAGAATTTACTTGAAACTGACTTTGTGAAAAGATATAAATATTATACTCTATTAAATTCTAAAAATATTAGTGGTGTGGAGTGTACAATATACTATTGTTGTAAAATATAATTTTCATCTCAAATACACCTATTTATATATTCCACGTACGTAACTTACATAACATCAAAAGGCATTTCACGTTAATGGAAGAATAATGGAGTTAAACCACCGTAAGTGGACGTTTATGATTACGGTTACAAATTGAAAAGCCGCCTGATCATTAATTGAGGATTAATGTAATTAAACAACTAGGATTTAATTGAAAATCAATAGTGAACGTGATGGTTACGGCTATAAATTTGAAAGGACACCTCCACGTTTAATTAGAGTTAATGTCATGGTTATGGAATGCATTATAAATTTCTAAATCAATTAAAGTGGATGACATTACGTAACCATACAATGAAACTATTCATTTGGTTATTATTTTATATTATATACGTATTAATATAATATTTGAGAACGATAATTTTCTTTCTATTAGAATAACTCGGGCATAACTAGTTTGAAATTACTTTTTCTTAAGCTCAAATTATATTGTTTAACACGAGCTACAAAACGAGTATAATAACAGTATATTTTCATCAACTTTAAAAATACTTAAATATTCTATTCAAATAATTTTCTAAAAGTGCTCGTAACTCGTAAGCAAATAAATTATTTATACGAATATGCGAGTCGAGTCTACCACTTCAACTTTGGACTTTTAATATAATGACAAATCTTCACATTTTCATTTGCTAAATAATAAGTTCAGGTTCACATAGTAAAAAAATACGGGGTGTTACACGTAGGGGCAAAGTTGGACATCGTCGTTCATACACAAATCCAGGCTTGAACTGTTCAGGGGTAGAGGACAACTCATCAAAGTGTGGAAGGGCAGGTGTCTTCGGTAAAGGCTCAACATGAGTGGTAAAGAAATATTGATTTTCGAAGAAAACAACATGACGAGTGATACAAAATATATTGGAGCATGAATCATAGCAAACATATTCCTTATGAGAAACACTGTAACCCATAAACGCACATTTAATTGATTGAGTTGAAAGTTTGTTTCGTTCATGAGTAAATGAACAAAACAGACACATCCAAAAGTATGCATGTCAAGGTAGTTTGGGTGTTGATGATGCAGGTGATAATAAGGAGGTTTCAAATTTCAGAACACTTGAAGGCAGTTGGTTAATCAAATAGTCTGCCGTAGATAAAGCCTCGACCTAGAATTTAGGTGGAATTGAGGATTCTAGTAGTAATGTACGAACATCTAACTGATGACAATTCTTATGTTCAGCAACACCATTTTGCTTGAGTGTATAGGAACAAGAATATTGGGAGACAATGCCTTTTTGGTTAAGGAAATCATGAAATTTTAGAGACATATATTCTCCTCTCGAATCAGATCTTAGTATTTTAATACTTAAGAACATTGAGTTTCAACATAAGCGATAAATTGTTGAAAAACAGAAAACACTTCAGATTTAGATCGAAGAAAATAGATCCAAGTATACCTTCTATAATCGTTAATGAATGTAACAAAATATTTATAATGTGCATGAGATATAACCGGAGACATACCCCACACATCACTATGAATCAGATCAAAACTTTTTTCAACCCGACTACCATGAGAAGAAAAGGGAAGAGACTTACTTTTACCTAATTTGCATATGGAACAACCAAGAGAAACATAAGATGAAAATTGATCTTTATTGCGCAACAAGCCAAAGTTTATTAAATGAGATAAAACAACAGAGTTAGGATGACCTAAACGTTTGTGCCAGATTTTACTCTTCTTGTTAACTTTATTACAAGCCATAGAAATAAATGGTGGAATGGAAAATAACAAAGGAAACAATCGACCAACTTTAGGTCCCTTCGCGAGTATCTTTCCCGACACTTGATCCTGCACAATACAGCCATCACGAGAAAATCGAACATCACAGTCATTATCAACCAACTGACCAACATATATAAGACTAGTAGAAAGTGCAGGAGATACGAGAACATCTTTCATAGTGGAGTTAATGTCTCCAACGGCATAAATAGGTAATTGACT